TAATCGGGGATAAAGAGCCAAACAGGCCTTGTGGCGGAAGAGATTCGAGAGCGCGGTTAAGACCCCCCGAATTTTCCCGCTACAAACTCTAATTAAAAAACTTGAGAAAAAAGCACTTGGATTGAGATATCTTGGCGGATATTTACTTGAATTTGTAAAACCATAAAGTTTTTATTCACGTAACAGAATATTGCATAAATAAAACCCAAGTCGAATAAATACTTCAGTCTTTTTCATTCATTTCAACGATGAGCATTGATGTGTTTGGACGCAAACTTGGTAGAGCTGACGAATTAAATTCGAAAAATTTACATGAGAATCTGTTAGTAGAACTAAAAAATATTAAAGATACTATATTAAAGTTAAAAGTTGAATTAAAAGAAATGAGTTCATTGGTCGATATTCATCGAGAGGAACTTGATATGAAATTTCTAGAGGTATATTCATACATTGACAAGTTGAAGCAAAGTCAGTTACCCCCACCATGATGTGCTTGCAGCTTGTATAAAGAAGCTTAGCTCATGAACCACATCTCATTCACTTTCTGTATCTGCACCACGGCTCGTTCGCCTTCTGTAACAGCACTAGCTCAATCATGACACAATTTATTGATTTCATTCAAGCTAAGGTATTAGCCAGCTTGAATGCACATATTATTTCTATGTTTGATGGTACAGACCCTGCGATTCAAAAATTCATAAAGAGATGGACTCCTTAGAGTATTACTATGGTAATACTCTAGAAGGTGTAGCGTTGATAACAAATGCTTATGATTATGAATATTCGGAGAAAGATTGCAGAAGAATCGAATACTCCATAGCCTTGTTGAAAGCACTTTGGTATATGAAAGATTACCAAAAGACTATTGGTCATAGAAATAGTTATATTCATGATTTTAAACTAGATGATATTCCAAGTGCTATTCAAAGCAGGTTAGCTACACAAACATTGACGAATATTCGTTATTCAATAAACAAGGTTTTTTTTAAATATGTGGCTGAATGTGTTCAAGCCACAGTATTTAATTTGCTTAAAAAGTCATTTCTGAGTGGAGTAGACATTGTCTTTACAGCTGTGTATCAAGAAAAAATTAGCAATCAATCTCCAGGAAAAATAAAAGTCAAGCTGTTCAAAATGGAAACTATTCCTCTTTACTCAACTCAAACCTATCAGAAATGGTTTGAAGAAAAAGTACAAGAACCTCTGATGACTATGATGGACAAATTTGAAAGTAACTATCCTTCTTACTCTTTTGAATTTATGACAAATGCAGTTGTCAGCTATTATAAGTAGCGCAGTTTGAGCATCATCAGATCATTCAGCACCAAACTTTCAAATAATATGGACCGCTATCCAAACGTAAAGTACTCTTGCCTTCTACAAATCAACAGTTTGACAACGGAAAGAAAAAAACAAATAATCATATGTACATATATAATCATTGTAAGCATATAATCATTATGCTCAACCTCAATAATTTTTCAGTTGTCTATAATTTATGATAATAAATAGATTTTTTTTTCATGTAAATTATATCTCTGTTTATTTAACAAACCTAACCCCGAAATTTGATAATAAAAAAACTTTTATACTTACACAGACCTACACTTTCTACTCAATCACAATCAATCAGCATAAAGCAAACATTTTTTATTTTGGCATGGAACAAGGGGCATGGGGCATGAGGCATGGGGCCGGGGGCACGCACGTCGATACAAGAGTCGGTAACTGCCGGCGAGGGGCATGGGATCTGCACGTCGATACAAGAGTCGGTAATTGCCGGCGGGGCCCACGGGTTTTGCACGTCGGTACACAGTCGGTCGCAAACGATTCCCGTCAAGCAGGTCGATATACATCGGTCGATAAAGCAGCTCATAGATCGCCAATATGAGGATTTATAACGTTACTGATCGTCGGTAGAGTAGGCATCGAAAAATCGCATGGTAAGTGGCTCAGGATCCCCTTACCCCCTACTACTCTCACTAATATAAAACTAAGGATGCTGCATCCGAAAACCACTCTCAACCTATCGGAAAATCGACGACATGTCTGACCCGACTGTTAATCTCCGACTTCACAAAACTTTCTCTCACATCAATTATCTCCTAGCCCCTCTTGATTCCATATTTACCATGTCTCCTTCTCATTTACAATCTTCTACCGCTCTTGGCTCCACCAATCATCTCGTTGACCACACCTCAAACAAAGATAATCGGCATAAAAGTGCATATATACACATTCTTAGCTTGATACAGCGAAAGGACAATGATAAGAGCCAACAGACATAGTGGTAAAGCCATGATTTTTTGTTACAAGCCAATAATAATGGTTGGACTGAAACCAGCAGTAATATCAATAACAGCTACAGCAACAACGCAACAACAACCTCGACGTTGAGAGAGAGGGTCGGGTTATTGGGATGCCAGGACAAGAAACTTCCTGGAAGTTCCAACCCGAAGAACATAAGCTTCCGAAAGACGAAAAGAAGAAACTGATCAAAGATTCCCCTGGAGCTCCTCTGCTAACAGTCAATGCGAAAGCTAGTCTTTATCCCTCTTTTTACACGTCTGAGCGTGCAATCTGCAAGCAAACCTGCATCAGCACCGGGAGCGATGCAATTTTCAAACGAAAGAGTGCGCCGTTCGCTTGGCACCGCAGCTTTACTACGTCAAGCACTCCGCTTATATAATAGATCTCTGCGCACGTATAAGTCGTCGAGCTCGTTGTTCGGTTGTTATCTTGTTGTGTTGATATTGCTAAATATAATGTTATTGTTAATAAACCAGCATTTCTGTGGGATTCAATTGCCCATCCGAATTTTTGGCAGAGTATATTCGCGTAATCTAAACCCTCCCGTAAATCGAAAATACTGTTACAAATTATGCAACGAAATACAAATAAAGATCACGCTCAGAATGCACGAAGACAAATGGCACTTGCTTCCCACTGCCATCGAAATATTATTTTTATTTTTTTTTCTATAATTCAGTTTTATCTATCCATATACTATGTGAATTATAGAATCCTAACTATTTGACAATGACTCGATTATTACGCCTTTTATCCATTTTTTTAATCAGATATATGTCGAGATGTTTAGTTTCTTGTAAAGTTTCTGCTCATAGAGACCGCTTAGTGGGTAATCTTGGTAATCTTCGTAATCTTTCAAGTAATTAATCGTTGGATTTATCGAAGCAATGCGTACAATAGTACATATTTTCGTAGACTAGTTCAGTGTGTATATTTTTTCAAATATTTAATACATATTACTCACTCTCATTTTGTCATCAACCTTGAAGTTTAATCTCCTTGTTACGAATTATTAAATGAAATTGTGCAATACTTGAACTTAATTCGCTACTGTAACTTGCAAGGGTTTCATACCAATCCTTCTATCTTTACGATTGCTGTCAATAATGGTGAGTTCTGGTACTATGTCCACTCATTTGTGATTGCCGCGTAGGTTAAATTTGATCCACATAGCATTTTTCAACGTATGATTGAATCGTTCACGTATTGAAGATTTGAGTGAGCTATAATTTGACATTATTAATTTTGTATTTTTTCAAGAGAACTTCAAAACCTGCATTGTGAATTTCGTTACCTTTGTCCAAGTGAAGATTATTTGGTATTTGAATTTCCAAGCTAGAGAACGCTGCCCACTCTCAGAGGGCTTATGCCTACCCAGCATAGCAAGCTAGAGACGCTACACATTGTCCAAGAGCTCACGCCTAGCCAACATATAGCTTACCAAATGTGCTACCAGCTTCTACAGTGTCCTACCTTAACAACCTCTATGGAGGGTGGCGAGGGTCGCGACTATTCCAAGGAGGACCCCTAAAGTCATTACTTTAGGGGTCGTCGGAAGGAACCACCCACTGACCACAGCAGCATCCACGCTATACGATATACGCGTCTAGCAAGCTAGAGACGCTATCTCCTCTCTGAGGGCTGTTACCTAGCCAGCATAGCTTAATAAGCAGGAGACGCTACCCCCTCTCTGAGGGCTCACACCTAGCAAGCATTTAGCTTACCCAACGTCCTACCAACATCAACAGCGATCTACCATTACAACATTTATAGGAGGAATCTACCTTGGCAGTCTATAAAATAAAATTAATTATTTTATTATTTAGGAATAGGGGAGGGGGCCTCTGGCGGGGGTTGCGACTAGGTCAATAAATTACTCTGGGGAGTAGGTGGGAGGAACCATCCACTTCCTGATCACCCATGATGCGTGCGCAGTGCGCGCACGCATGCACAAACCCCTATGTATATTTCAAGACACCTGGACCCCCACGAAGTGGCATGAAACATACATTGCTTACCTACTGCAGTCTAATGGTAATCGCTGAAGTGTCAAAATGGATGATTATCAAACTAAAAATTTGTGCTTTCTGAGCTTGTGAAATCGCAATCAGACACAAGTATATTCTGTTCAAACATAATTGTGATTACAGTTATAATGTCTTGAATAACGAATTTAAGCAAATAGACAATTTCCTCACTGCTATAGTGATAAAAGTGGAACTAATAATAAATTAAGCGTGTACGAATACTGAATTTGTTCCAGTTAAACAGCCAACTTTCTCAAGAAAATACCATAACATGAAAATAGTTATTTTACTGCTTCTGCTAGTTAACAGAAAGAATATTTATAGGCTAGCAGCGAAGATGCTGATATTATTATTGCGCACAAGATTCACAAAATTATTATAATATATCCCGACTGAGCGAGAATGAGTACCTAGCTATTATCAGTGCATGAATGAGTTAGATAAAAATGACTCTAATTTTTTTTATATGATCTATGTTGTGCGTAAAGAAAAAAATGAAGCTTACATGCTAAGTAACTCTATAGTGATTTTTGACATGTTAGGTTTAGTGTTTTGGAAAGTAATGTCAACCATTTGGTTGAAATATATAAGCCAGAATTCGCAAAAATGAAAACAGATACTCCAATACAAATGGGGTAGACGGAACAGATGGAGCACGAGACAATGACGGAGGAACTTCACAAGCCAGCCAGATGTAATTATGCATTACGCAAATACGATATTCGACGTATTGATGAAATTAAGCAGGTGGATCTCATCGAGATGCATGGTCAATCTAGACTAAATCACGACTACAATTGGTTTACCACGATAATTGATAAGACAGCCGACAAAAGTTAAAAAATTCCTGAACTAAAAACGACACCTTACGTACCCGAAGGATTTTGACGCACTGAATTCAAATCTGGCTTCAGATTTTACCCAGCACGTTAGAATTGCAAAATATCCTAACCTATAAGTATGAAAAACATGTTTTTTAGCAATATTCGCGGTTCTCTACTACCACCATTAATTTTTTTAACTGATATCACCTTTTTAAATCAAAACTCTCACTCTACAATACTCTGCCTCCAAATTTTTTACTAATATCTCAAAAACCTGGAAAATTAAGATATGAACCGATATATCATACCTATGTTCTATAAGATATAGAATTCATATTGAATGTTAAAACTACTTTAGAACCTCAAATTTTCTAGACTAAAAATGCAAGAAGATACTATTCTTGATCCTAAAAATAAGACATGAACAGGAATATATTTTTATATATAAAAATATATCGTATTTTCTCAAATTTCGGACTACACGTGCTTTTATCGTATGATGTCGCAACCCTAAATCTCAATGTCTTTAACTTGCTAGTCTTTAACTTTAAACTTGTAAATTCCCATTTCGTTAATCTCAGAACCTTGCATGTTATTCCATTCGTGCATATAGATAAATATCTTATTTTTTTCGAAAGATTGTTATAGTGATTTTCGCTTGTAGCTAGTTAGGTCATTATCTTTTCTTTTCAAAGACAAACAGAAATCTGCCATCATATTTGATCCCATCAACTTCCGTAATACTACTTTTTTTGCTAGTACCAGGTTTATAATTTGAAAATCATCACAAATTAACCATTTACGTGTATTGTATTTCAGCTTTATAAGGAGATATTGAAAACTATTTTAGGATTTTTGTGTGAGGATGCGTGCTCTCTCTCTCCCTCTTTCTAGCTCTAACTCAGCGTGGACCACAGCGCGGAGGAGTAGGGGTACGCATATGCAGCTATGCTTACTACCTACCCTCTTATCTTAAGTTGACTATGTCTACCACAAATGTAGATCACAGCTGGTTTCAGAATGATCAAGCTTCTCCACTACTTTCTGGAAGAGAGAAAAAGAGAGCAGCTATGTTTTGCTACCAACCCTCTTTATCTTATACTCCATATTGTAGAAAAATATTATCTATTATTATTACAAGCGTTCGGTAGGATTTTCGACGATCAGTCTCAAGGCAAACATCGAGTTAGTCATAGCACATTGTGAAATTGGTTTTTCTATTTATTTGTGTGAAAAAATTTGTGTTAGTGAAAATGGAAAGTATCGTTAATGTTTGTCAGTTTCTAGAAACCGTAAGTAATCATTTTAAAAATTAAAAATAATTATATATATATATATAGTTTTAATAATTTTTAATTATAATTTACAGAATACTAATGCTATCCCGCGTGAGCTGCTGTATCGGTTGCTCATTGTTATTTTAAACGGAGTAAGGTCTTTTTTTATATTATTTAATATTTAATATTTAAATATTTATTTATTTTCAGTAGCTTAGATGTGCAGGCAACGCACAACACGTTGCCCAACTCACCCAGATTATTGCGATTGTTCGTGAAGTAAGTATATTAATATTATTATTTAATTCTATACATGTACTTATACAGATTTTTCATTTTTCAGTGGATCAAACAATCAATGACTGAAAGACTGGTCGCGTAACAATTGGCCTATCAAATTGAGAAGACCATAGAAGAGCGAGTGAGGGCAGCTATGTCGCCAGAAGCGCGTAGAAATAATGAGAAAAAAAACAAGAATTCTCACGATTAGAGCGCAAGAAAAAAGCTGAGCTGGCCAAGACGGTGCAGGATGAATTAGCGGACAAAATAAAAAAAAGATTAATTCCAGCAAAATCATCGTCATCAGCGTCGCCCTCATCTACATCATCTTCAGGATCGGAGACGTTGTCATCGTCGTCTACGTCAGCATCGTCTACGTCTGCGTCATCTACGTCTGCGTCTACCACATCTGCGTCTGCAACATCATCGATGCCTTTGCTTGACATGTTACAACATGATGAGGCAATTGATTTGTCTACTAAGGTAAGAAAACACTTATATTTATTATAAAATTTATATATTTTATGCGATTATTTTAAACAAAATTAATTAATATTTTTAATATTTGTGACGAGAGCAGGCCGTGTGCCGGTCTCTCGTCTGCGTTTCTCCCTCCTCCACTCAGCAAGGCGTGTTGGCCAACGTTAGGCGCATTAAAGTATGCGCCTAACACTTGGTCTTTTTGTTCCAGCGCCAAGGACGGGCCAGCGCAGTTGAGCGCAAGAAAAGTTGAGGAGCGCGGAGAGAGTGAGAAAAAGAGAGAGAGAGAGAGAGTACTAGGCCCATGCAGGGATCGGCAGGCGCGCGACGCGTGACCGATAAGCGGTGCGTCGCGTGTCGCCTAATAGGTCAAGGTAGGGAGAGGAGCGAGCGCCGCTGAGCGGCTGCGAGACGAGCGCAAGAATAAGTGCGTGAGAGAGTCGAAGCCTAGTCCTGCTAGAGTGCAGAAAGTGCAGTTTGGGATAGCTGAGAGGAAAGTCAACCCTATCGACAACAGCTTTGTCTGCGACTACAGCCAGCCCTACCTGCAAGGAGAGTCAACGTCGTCTGCGGATACTTGGTCAGCGATAGTAGCGAGCAGCTAGCAACGATCTGACCAGCAACGACGACCGGTACTTTCTGCGGCAGCACATCGCTCAAGATTCTCGACGTTGCGAGGAGCAGTGAATAAAGGTTAAGCCTTCCTTTTTTCTTTCTCTCTACACTCTCTCTCTCTCTCTCTGGTGATGACCGGTGCACGTTGAATAAGATGCCTGGCATTCACGTGCCGGCTATCTAAAGGTTCGCGCTTAAGTTTAATATATAATAGTGTAAGTTGCGACCGGCGAATTGTCCAGGCGCCCACGTGCCGGGCAATTTATCTGGTATTGGTTCGCGTAGTTTTTAAGTAAGTTTGTAATAGGTTAAGTGCGCGATTAGATATTAGGATGAAATGCGAAATATTTATTTGTAAATATTATAAGTAGTTTACTGTTCTATTTTGTAGTTAGTTGGTCAATAATTGAGACTATGTTATGCGCGCGTATGTTTAGTTTGAATAATGATTAATAATAATAGGTTAAAAGTTTAATTTGATTCATGTCATTGTATAATTTATTTATGACCTATCCTCTCATTTCTCCCTCAATTACCTTGAGCGAAAGCGTCTCATTCAAGGAAGAGTGATTCTTGTCACATATTTTACAGAGAACTGTACCGAAGAAGCCCTAAATCAAAAGTAGTGAGGCTATTCGGCGTAGAATAATCATGATTCCGGCTAAACCGATAACGAGAAAGCCGACTCGCCCCCTCAAGGTAGTAGGAACGCATAAGAAGAAAGAGGACAAAATAAAATAAAATAATATTGTTTTTTGTAATAATTAATATAAATTTTGAATAAAATAAATTAAAATAAATAAAATGCTTTATTTTTTTTTAATTAGTGAGAGGGAGAGAAAGAAGTGAGAGAGTGAGAGAACTAGTGGTAGAGAGATAGAGAGAGAGGGAGGGAGAGAGAGAGAGAGAGTTACATATGCTGTTATGATTAGGTATTATATATTTAAAATTAAATTATTATTATATTTAAAATTAAATGCTTTTATTCATAAAATTTAACGTGATGTACTGTATGTAACACATTTTAATTTATTTAGCTTATATTTAATTGTATTAATTCCAATTTATTTAGAGAGTAAACTATATTAAACTAATTTCTTCACATCACCGCTGAATGGATCTGCCAGTGGGTCCTCAGACAGAGTGCTTTCCCCAACCACCCATCCACCTACTCCACCCACCCACCCACACACACCAACCTACCCTCATCAACCCACCCACCCACACCCACCTACAGAGGTTATTAAGGTAGGATGCTGTAGAAGTTGGTAGGATATTTAGTAAGCTATATGATGGTCTCTCTCATTCTCCTAGTATAGTAGGGAGCATAGTAAGCTTATGCTGGTTAAGTTTGGGCCCTCGGAGAGGGGGAAGCGTCTCTAGCTTGCTAGGTGCGTACGCCATTTAGTGTGGATGCTGTTCTCTCTCTCTCTCACTCTCTCTCTCTCTCTCTCTCTATGATTATAGGTAGTTTGTATTAAATTCTAACAATATATACACTACCGTCCATAAAGATTTGCCATCCCCTTGCTGAAATCATCAAAACTTTAGAGTTTTATGGCTCAGTTTCTATAAGAGCTAGAAAATCCTGCTGTATCTCATTTGAAAGGTCTTGCCAAGACCTTTCAAATGTTGTAAAACATAATTGATTTTATTTGTTTTTTGTACAACTTGTGACGTCATAAACAAATTGTTTTTTTTTAATTTTTTCACATCAACTTCGACCCCGATTTATTTATATAACGGATTCTACGATGGAAAAACTGTGTAAGCCATTCAATAGAGCTTTCAAAAAGCTACAAAATCCATATCCGGAAAATTTTTTTACCTTTATTTTTTATGAGCTATATGGTGTTTTATACAAAAACAAAGATTTTCAAAAAATGGGCTATTTTTTTTATTTTCAACTCTAAAGAAAAAACTCTCAGAAGAAAAAATGTAGTATTTTGCAAGAGCTATCAAATGCGCCACTCAGAATTTAAAAAAAAAAATTTTTTTCTCACGTTTTTTAGAATTAAAATTTTTCGAGAAAAAAAACTCAAATTACATATATTTAATAAAATTAGTAAGTAACTAGTATTTATAACTAAATGGGCTTACAAACAATGATAACAAGATACATTTATTGTATTCGACGTTTGTAACAGAGGAATTTGCATTGTTTTCATTTTTAATGACTTTCTACAGTATTGTGCTCACCGATAATCACTGTGATAATCACTGAGTGTTTACATGGTTTGATTTACTTGACTTTCATGAATGTATACATATAGCAGAGAATACGTATGGAAATTCAGTCTCTTATCAGCTTTAATGAGTGAAATATCAATGTTTCCAATCTAGTCAGTAAATTATGCATGTATTTTTTGTTCATTAAAAATGACGAAAAAAAGAAACTTAAGCATTGAAGAGCGATCTGAGATAGTAGCCTTGCATAAAGTGAATAAAAGTAATAATGAAATTTCCAAAATTTTGAATATTCCAAGAAGAACAGTTGATTATAACATTAAAAAATTCATAACTCAAGGAAATATCAAAAACAAAAAAATTTCAGGAAGGCCTAGGAAAACTAGGAGCGCTACTGATAAACACATTTGTAGTACAAGTACACATAATCCAAGGCTCACGGCACCCGAACTTGCTGTTGAAACTCAAAAAGCGTATGATGTTAAACTTAGTGTTACTACGAGAAAGAGACGACTTCATGAAGATGGACTATACGGTCGAATAGCAATTAAAAAGCCTTTACTAAAACCGATTAATAAAAAGAAACGATTGGCTTGGGCCAGAAAACATAAAATTTGGACTATTGATGATTGGAAAAAAATTTTGTGGTCTGATAGAAAATTCGAGATTTTTGGTAGTAAACGCAGATGTTTTGTGGGGAGAAAAAATAAGCAAAAACATTTAGAGAAAAATATATGTGCTTCGGTTAATCATGGTGGCGGCTCAGTAATGGTATGGGGTTGTTTTGGTGGTTCTAAGGTTGGTGACCTTCTTAAAATTGATGGCAAGTTGAAAAAAGAAGGTTACAAAAAAATTCTTGAAAAAAATGTTGTATCTTCCGAAACAAGAATAATTGGTCGCAAATTTACGTTCCAACAAGATAACGACCCAAAGCATACTTCAAAGTTGTGTAAAAGTTATCTTGCTCAATTGGAGAAGAAAAAAAAATTAGTTGTGATGGAATAGCCACCGTACTCTCCTGATCTTATTCCTGTCGAACTGTTGTGGGATGATCTAGATAGAGCTGTAAGGAAGGTAGGACCGACTTCGCAGAAGGATCTTTGGAATATCTTAGAAAATGAGTGGAAAAAAATAAGTGCAGAAACTTTAGAGAAACTTGTAGCACGAATGCCTCGAATTTGTAAAGTAGTTATAGCAAACAAAGGTGGACATTTCAATGAAAAAACGTTTAAATAATTAGTATTGTTTCGTTTTTGTTTACAACTGAAATTTATATTCAGATTGTGGTAATATATTAATTACAAGCGTTGTTAGTATTATAAAACATGAAATTATTATTGTTATGTTATTATTGAAACGATGTAATAAATAAATTTTGTAGAAAAATTGTAACCAAATTATGTTAATCTATTCTGAGTAAGTAATAAATTATGGTTCAATAAATGTATCTTGTTATCATTGTTTGTAAGCCTATTCAGTTATAAATACTAGTTACTTACTAATTTTATTAAATATATGTAATTTCAGTTTTTTTTCTAGAAAAATTTCAATTCTAAAAAACATGAAAAAAAAATTTTTTTTTTTAATTCTGAGTGGCGCATTTGATAGCTCTTGCAAAATACTACATTTTTTCTTCTGAGAGTTTTTTCTTCAGAGTTGAAAATAAAAAAAATACAGCCCATTTTTTGAAAATCTTTGTTTTTGTATAAATCACCATATAGCTCATAAAAAAAAAGGTAAAAAAATTTTCCGGATATGGATTTTGTAGCTTTTTGAAAGCTCTATCGAATGACTTACACAGTTTTTCCATCGTAGAATCCGTTATATAAATAAATCGGAGTCGAAGTTGATGTGAAAAAATTAAAAAAAAACAATTTGTTTATGACGTGACAAGTTGTACAAAAAACAAATAAAATCAATTATGTTTTACAACATTTGAAAGGTCTTGGCAAGACCTTTCAAATGAGATTCCGCAGGATTTTCTAGCTCTTATAGAAATGGGCCATAAAACTCTAAAATTTTGATGATTTCAGCAAGGGGATGGCAAATCTTTATGGACGGTAGTCTATAGTGTATATATATAATTTTATTTTTTTATTGAAAAGCATTGTGTACATTGATCATATAATGTCTTGTTAATTTTAAACTAATTTTTTAACATCACCACTAATTGGATTATATTGTACAATACGATCGTGTAA